AAATGAATTTTTTTTCTTATGTTCCGAAACGTATTTGTGTAAGAACAAAATTTGTTTTGGGTGATACTGATTATCTCAATGTAATTTGTATTAACAAATTCAACATAATATGTATTTTCAATGCATTTATTGACGGTTTTACGGAAATCGCTAAGTTTTTAAATTTTTTTTTTTTTTATATAATTTTTTAATTCAATGAACGTATAAATTTGCGATTTTAGGTGAGTCCACATCAAACGCGCGCCTTTTTGTACTGTTGCAAAACATTTTACATGTTTGATGTTAATCTGCTTTTTCATGATTTTTGACCGACCACCGACGACTGTACAAATAACGTAGTAAGCTTTTCATAATTTATATAGTTCTTCTTTATACTTTTACTTTAGTAGTTTCAGATTATCATCTTTGGTAAATACAGGCTTATATATTATATTTATTTTTACTTTACGATGTATGGATAATCGATAACGGTCGAAGCCCAGTTAGTACGCCTGACGACGTCATGTCAGCTACATTCGTTGTGACGTGCAACGTGCGATTTAGTTCAATATGCCAAAAGTAAAAAAAATGCCAAAATTAAATCGATTAACGAAATATGTCAACATTGTCAACGAATTCGGTAGACAAAATATAAAACTAGCAAATAATTTTGCAACACAACAACAATTTAGTTCGGGTATTAATAAGAAAAATAAAAAATTTTATTTTTCCAATCGTTACTTAAAAATCAATCATTTCAAAGTGAAATTGTTAGCAAGTAAGTCTGAAGATGTATCCGTCACGTAATATTATTTAATATTTTTATAAAACAATAATAATCAATTAATTTGTAATTTCTTAAAAAAAAAAGTCGCATACATAGTTTATACAATCGTTTAAACTATAAATACATGTTATAATTTATAAATTAAAAGGCATTTTTGAATTTTTTAAGGACATTTTTCGCGATTTTTTAAGACATTTAAATCCCAGCTCTATTAAAAATTAACGAATAAAATATGTTCATAATGTGGCATGTTTCGCACTTGATATTTTGCACATTGTATTGCGTGTAACAAGTTATTACTAAAAAGAAAAAAAAGAAAATGGGTTCTAGACCTCTTTGGGGTCTGATGTATCACCCACATCACCCCCTTGAGAATGCCACCAACGTGAAATTTCGATACACATGCAATATTGCAATATTAATAACGTCGTTTTTGCTATGTACCCAATTAATAATAATTTATATTATACAAAAACCGGATCAATCTTGAAATACTCATTTTTCATGCACAATGGTAAATATAACTGTAACTTGTCATTTATTGATCGTCCGAAAATAACAATAGCAAACTTTTGATAACACAATCTACTGCAATTGTTTTTTTTTTTAAGGTGGAGGCGTAACAGTAATAAATGTTAATACGGTTGTAATGTTAGAATATACTTTTTTTTTTTAAATAAGTTAGACTTTTTTTAAATCAATTTTTTTCTCGGCAGTTTGTAATCGCGAAAATGTAATACTCTGCAATTCTCATTTGATTGATGATGTTTCCTTCTTTTTTTTTTTTTCTTTTACTATTTTAAAAAACTTCTTTAAAACGCCATCACATATCGTGACGGATGTTTCGCCCGCTGAAAATCGACGTGAAACAGTTGTTTCAGTAATAATTTTATCATCATCGCCCAATAAACTTATTATAATTTTCAACAATATTTTTTCGATCAATTTTCCGATCAGTAACAATTTTTTTTTTCTTTCAACTTTCGTGGCTTTCGAATAAAATATATTGTGCTCGTTTTCGAAAGCGTATTTCGTTGTTAAATAGTTTAACTACCGATCGATTCGCCTACGGAACATTGAAATACAATATTTGTATACAACAAAGTTCTATTATCCGTAAATATAAAATAATAATACACACTTTATATTTCTTTTGTAAATGAATTCGTTTATATGTACTTATATATACCTAAACATAAATGTAATAAATACTATTATTATTTTAACGCCGCCACTTCTATTCATCATTTTCCGGAAATAAGGACCGGAAGTCTAAACATTTCAATCTAACTATTGCTACGGTGAAGTTTTTGTTGTGGTTTAACTATAATTTAGTAAAACGGGTAGAAATATCATTTAAAAATATTTTATGATGGTATTGTAAATAATGTATAATAAACAATATATTTGACATTGAATCTCAAATAATGAAAAATATAATTGTTATCTACAATATTGAAATAATGATAACAAATTTTGTACTGAACTATTTCACACACATGACATATTTCATTATTAATAGAATTGAAACATGTCTACTAACTGTAAGTATGTGATTCATGCATAATTCTTTGTAATTGGAAAATAAAACAAAAATTTAAAAATTTAACGCAGTGTGTGGTGGAGATATTAATAAAGTAGATATTGATCATTGGGTATCGGTGTCAGTCCTCTGCCCTCGTATACATGCTACTAACTTTATTATATACATATTTATATGAAAATCGATAGAAGTAGAATTGTTTAGTTCGGCTCATGTGAGACACAAACCTAATATAAATTTCTTTGGATATCATATGGCTAAATTTTTCGTTTGGTTTATATATTAAAACAAACTTACTAATAATTAGGTACTATCAAGATTAATTTAAATCATTAAGGTAGATTAACGGTGATGAAATATTAATTGTATAGTATAATCGTGATGTGTGTTTGAATAAGTAATTTGCTACTGAATTTTCGATTCGGCGTAAGTACCTATATATATATATATATACATATATACCTACTCTCTATTCGCATTCTATCCGCTGTGTGTTTGTTTAATATTAAATACATAACCGCGCGAGTAGGTATTTAAAAACAAATTCAAGTGCGAGGAGGCTCGTTTCCAAACCCTTTGTGTCTTCGTTATGTGAAGGACACTTTTCTCTTCCTCCACGTTTGAAATAACGATTCGTCTACTTATTATTATTATTATTTCGCCTTTTCCGGTAGTTTAACTCGGAAAGTTTACCGGAAACTCTTCAACTCCATATATTTGGTCATTATCTTTAGCCTTATTTACGCGTTTCGAAGTGTGTATTTTAATCAATACGTGTCATATTATTCGTGTAATTGTAAATTGACGATTCGATTTTCGGATATAGATACAACTGGTATGCATCGATTGCACCGAAAATTGTAAGTTTAAAAAAAAAAAATGCTACAGAAAAATATTCACATAAATTACTAATAGTCCATTGCACCGATCGATTTATATAGACATAGAAATGAGTGCACATTTATATTATATTTTAGTTGATAAGTTGTTTAATTAATATACTCACCGTAGTAATCTATGTGAATGGCATAGTTTTAATAACCAAAACGGAAGAAGAGCCGAGGAAATTCAACCAACATTTTGTTGAAGGAAACGAAATAAATTAGCATGAATATCATATTGAGAAATCATCAATATCAATGATGCGATGATTATGATGATAATTTAGGTGGTATTGTTTAGACAATACCACGGTGCTTAGAAATAATACGTTATAGATAATTATACGTTTTAAATGGTAACTCATTTCAAGCACTTAGTAATAAAGGTCGATAAAGACGGTTTGTCGCAGCAAAAATATGCTACTTACTTTGTGTTGATACCACTATTCGTATCCAAGTTCGTATAGTTAGGAGAACACCTATGGATGTGACGTGCATAGAGGGAGATTTTAGGGTTTTTACCCTCCCCTTCCGGTTTGCATAAAAATATAACAACTGTATGAGTATTTATTTGATAATTTAATCTTGAAATACCTCATCTCGTTTGAATTACGAGGAAATGTTTAATTTATCCTACGACCTATCATTCGGTTTATATTCGCGGTGTCTGTGATTTAATATCATTCAATTTACAGTAGCTCATCGAGAAAGAGCTAATTTAAATATTCAAATAGTTACCTAATATACATCGATATAGGTATTTTATTATAAACTATTATTTTCATCCATTTCAGAGGGTAAACAATTGGCGTGCTCAAGAGAATGTAAATTCATCGAGACTTCGAGCGGCATTCAACATAACGTGGACGAACTGTTGGTCGGTGTACTGAAACAAATCCGGTTGCGCGAGACCAGGGATAAAAAAAAACAGAGTCAGCGGAAGAGAGATATGCGCGGGTCGAAAACGTCGCTTTCGTTACATATTGCCAAAGAATTGCTGCAAAAAATGTGTCTGCTCGATTCCAAGTCAAAGTCTTGCGGAAACTTGCACGTACTTTAAATAATACGATATTTCCCGTTAAAGCGGATATTATTTTATTTTTAAAACTTACTATTTTTTTGTTTTGTTTTTACGTAAAATCGTAGAACTTTTTGGACGGTGCCGTGGAATCCGCGGGTTTAAAGCGAAACAACCTACGTATGATTTGCCGTCGGTTGATGGTTTAAGTCGATTCTTATACGCGTAGCTATTATATTGACTTTTGATTGACCGACAACGACGTGACAACGGCGATAAGTCCCTTTCTCTATATACGGAAACATCATTTATCACTGTATATATTCTCCTATCTATCTATCTTACGTATTTTTGTACTTTCGCGCGATTTTACCGAAACCAAAATCGAATGCAAGTAATACTCGCCTACTTTACGCTTCCATCAGGACCATCATTTTGTTATCTCCTATATAAAATAAAAACGATATCGACGGGACTAATCACCTGCTCTTCTCTATTATCGACTGTGCTATTTTTTCCTGTGATATAATTCTACGCGTTACAACGTATTTCAATCTTATTTACATATTTATTGTTTATCATACCTTAACATATAAAAATATAGTTTATTAAATTATTATCATAAATATAACTTAAAAATAGGATAAAATATATTATTTATTTATCGTTTAAACGATATCAAAATAACTATATTATTATACGCTATTAATATAAAATTAAGGAAAATTCAACCGATTTTGTTCGATAAGTCATTATACAACATAACGTGTCGGTTTATAATTGTTTTTAAATATAAGTATTATTTTTACAGTCTTCAATTACCTATATAAAATGTTTATAGGCTAATTATCCCGTTTGGGCCAAAGCACGAACGTTATGGTACGATCGTAGTTATTTATTTAATTATAATATATAATAACAGAAATATACTAAATAGCTAACTGCTATCCAGCAGTTCGTCTGCTATCTGTCTGTGACCATTTAATTCGAAATCCATGAACCTTAACATATACTTTTACCTATACAATTGTATAACTATTAAATCTATTATTAGGTCTTTTTACCATTGTTACCGAGGTAATCGAAACCATGATTATTAACAATATTGCATAGATACAACAGTTATCACAATATAAAAATCGATTGTTGAGTCTCGAATTAAATGGTGGATTGAAACTTCACTTCTTATCACTAGTAACAACTAGTTTATCGTACATATCTGTGCGTATGATGGATATTTAACAGGCTATAAAAAAGTGACCTATAAGTCGAATTCTCACTGATACTCCTAGCGGATTAATCTCTTACTATAGTGTCGTCATGGTATAAACAATAAATTACTTTTATTACGATCCTATATAAATATTACACATACAAGATGACCGACGGTAATCTGACGTTTCTTTAATGGGTAGTAGTTAGCCTGCAGTGGTGGTAGAGAGATAAACGACTGTTCATTACTTTCGGCATTTAAATTTAAATTCCATTTTAGTAGTTATGGAAAAAATGGTCGAGCATTTTGTGTTCACGTATGACATATATGTTGAAAAAAATGAGGATCAATTTTGCTGTGACTTTGTAGCTATTATTTCATATGCATTTTAATCGTGGACGCTACGGTACCATTCCCATCTGAAATAAGATTTTAAGTTTTGTGAACTAATTGTGAACAACAAGATGTCTTGTGATGAAGAAGCCATTAATTTCCAAGAAAACAATAAGAACACACATTTTTTTTTTTGAACATGAAAACGACTAACTAAATAGACGATACTTGAAAAATAGAATAAATGTTTTTTTTTTTCAATTAGATGGGGCCACCCCTTACAATGTGCTCTATGCTGGTGGTTCGAGGCATGTTTTCAATAAGGGTCATCTCTCGTTTCAGAAATGTCCTATGGCCACTGATTTTAGTACTTGGAACTATTTATTTAGGGGTACCTAAAATCGTGTTTATACACTCAAAAATTCTGCACATTAACCATATTGAATTGTAAGATAGTTCGAGTAACGGGTGCATTTCAAAAACGGCTGGAAAATTACATTCAGGAGGATTTGATACTACTTACTCAACGTAAATATTCACACATTATATACATTTGAAATGACATGTAATAACAATCAATATTGAATAATACATTTCATATTTTACTAAAAAAAATACTGAGTACAATCCATTTCAAAAACGTCACGTTTCTTGTGTATACTGTATATACAGGGTAATTCTTTTATCATGAACCAACAATTATCTTGGAGGATTCTAAGTGAATTTGATTTCTGTTATTTTTTTTTTGTTTTATTTTTTTGGAATTGTTTAAACTTTATTTTAAAACTATTTTTAATTTTTACCCCTACTTCATGTACCTTAAGTAAGTATATACTTTAAAATAGGAACCCTTCTCTTCCCATTTTAAATACAGGTTTGAATAGAGAACATTTTTTTAGAAATCTTAATGTGCATAACACTAATATCAAATTTACCGTTTATGAATTATAGCAGTTTAAAGTTTGGACCGGAGGAGTAGAGAAGGGTCATGAATCGCATATATATTTTTGAATGATAAATTGATAACCCTTCCATACTTCTCCGATCTAAACTTTAAACTGTTATAACTCATAAACGCTGAATTTAATATTAGTGTTATGCATAACAAAATAAATTTCTAAAATAATTATCTTTGTTTGTATATGTGTTTTAAAGGAAGAAGGTTTGCTATTTAAAAATCCAAAGTGAGTACTCATTTTAGGTATGAGAGTATGGGTGAAAAATGTAAAACAGTATTAAAATAAAGCTCAAACGATTCCGTAATACATTCCATTACATATATTTACCTTTTTTCAAAGGGCTCGTAAATAAAATAAATTAAAATAAAGTACTTAATGATGAAAAACAAATTAAATTCGATAAAAATCCTCCAAGAAAATTGATGGTTCATGACAAAAAAATCGCTTTGTACATATTGTGCATATTTATATTACCTACATAATATTATTTATTGCAAATTAATATTTTGAACTATGGTCCACGGTTATTTATTAGGAAATATAAAGTTCCAGCTTTTGAAATTTGTACGCGCACATCAGCTGGTTCTTAGAGTGAAATGACTGCGACAGATTATTATAATTTATTGGACCTAATTCGTGGGTCAAAACAATAGATAAGTTATGATTTCCGTATAGACCATTGGTGTATGTATAGTCTATTTTCCATTTTTTATTGATACCTATAGTAAATGTCAAATATATTTGCTTGACAATCTGAGAGCTGGTATATATTATTTAAACAAAAATTAGTCTATAAAATATGCGGCGATTCGAAAATGTATATGCATATACTTAATAATATTTTTATTACCTATATAATAAACAAGCCATGTCATTATACTTTACAAAGTAATAAATAATAAAAATCAAAACGTCATTTAAAAAAAAATCAAATTGGAAAAAACATAGCTTGATGGAGTATTATATCCAGTATTCAAATTTAGGTGGGATGCGCAGATTGACGGCGCTCCCCTACTTCAACTAATTTCTCTTTTTTTTTTTTTTTTTTTTTTAGTGTCACCTTACTAATAATTATTTCTATTAGGACAGAAGAAAAGTATGTATTTTTTTTGTAAATAGTTACCTATTTATAAATATAAGAAAAAAAAATTACTATCAACTCAGATATATATTTAATATTATAAATTTATTTTTTAGAATTTAATATTATTAATAACGTACATTAAATAGATATATAAACAAGAACGAACCTCGGTTAGATTGAGTTCAATAATTTCATGGAATGACAATTTTTATCAAGTCTCATAGTCCCTTTTCTTCTATATACCTAATTGGAGCACTAATTTTTATTTTACATTAATTGCATTTATTATTTTTATATACCTAAAATTAAAAATTAATAAAACCTTAAAATTAATTTTTTTTTTTTATAATATTAAAAATTATCAGTAAGGTATATTTAGAGTTTATTATATTAATTGGCTATCATAATAAATTGAAAGGCAACTAGTTTTATTTATTTTCATAGTGAATATTTTCTATATGCCTATCTATAGGAATGACGGATTCTGTAGTTTCACTTAGAGAGTTATATAGAGAAAATAGCATATGTAGTGGTCGGTACCGGTAAGTGATGGAAACTAGGTACTAAACTTTTGGTCTATACCAACGTCGTACCTTTTACTATAGTCAAAATACCAAAACGATCAATCCCTAGAATATAATTATAATTTCTAGACCGCGAAGTGTGTAGTATTGTGGTCAAATAAATATAATTTTCTCCGGTGTAAAAAAAAAACCAACATTTATCAATATATCGAGTACATTATTAAAATTAACATAATAATATTACGTATTATAATAAGGTTTTATCTACTTACAGAATATATAATTATACAATATAATAATATATAATTTATATTTTAACTACCTATATAATGTATACGTCTTGTGTTTTATATTATTATCAGTAGCCTTTAAATATATATGATTTTTTTTTTATTTCAATACAAATTTTAAAAATGTCTGTATCCGTGATGTTTATGAAAACAAAATTAAATTTAAAGAACTATCAAAACATATTTATTATACGTATCTACCTACTTTGAAAATGTGTATTCTATACTTGTATCTATTGTTTTAATTTATCATAATATAATATAACTTGGAAGTTGAACTGTTTTATTATTATTTATTACAAATTGCATTATTATATTCCATAAAATATACAACACTTGTAGCGAAATATAATATAATAATGTCTGTCAGCCGATGCTATAAACTTAAATATTCTGTTCCTGTGTTTCAGGTAAAAAAAAAAAATTCATTGTATTATTATTATTATCGTTCAATTATAAAATATATTTTTGTTCTTAAATGAGTAAAATATTCAAACTTTGCGTACGAGTATTTATAATATGAAAAGTAAAATAGATAACTAAAAATAATTCTTTAAGAATATAATAAAGTCTACTTTATAAAGCAAAAGTCTTTCAACATTTTATTAAGCTTATTATTATAATAATAATGATAGCAACGATAAAAGAGGCAGTTCGTAGTATAAAGTTTATAAACTGTATTAAATTTAAGGTATAAACTATAACGAATAATATAGTATACGTAATATAGTGTATTCCATTATCTAGATAACCAAAAAAAGTTTTATAAAATGTATAAACCTATTAATATTTCATGCTCAACTAAAAATATTATTATCTAATTATCGATTAATTTTTCTTTTAGCTTTATTAGCCTTGATCTGGATGAAAGAATAAGTCAAATTTTAGATTCCGAGTAAAGCAATATACTGATTTTATTATGATGTGGACTCTTTTTAATTTTTTTTTTCTGTCCCTTTACAATTTTTGAAATTCATTTTTACATCATAACTAAACGATTGTAAGATTATGATTACAAAATTGTATTTTTGTTGACTTCTGATGACTGGCTGAAAAAAATAAATCCCGCAGAAAAAATAATATTATATATTATTCAATGAACTTAATGTCAGAAATCCTATAATTAACTACTTACAATGTTTTGAAAATATACAAATTTTGAACCTACGTAAAACCAGAAACCTACCCAGTTCGAAAATAAATCTCCCGAAAACGACTTTTATCATTGCGGATAAATGTCAAGTCCATATTTGAGGAAAATGACCACGTCCTACTATTTAATTTGTTTATTATATTTTGGTTACGTAGCGATAAGTAGCTTCTTAGGTATATTAAAATTTTGCCGTTTATACTCGCTATTATTTTGTGAACTCTCGGCGATTATATTAATTCCAAAAGCATCGAATAACCGTAGATACCATACTATTACTATATTATACTGTCCATTAGTCATCCGCCTACATTTGAAGAGCTACCGCCCGCTAAAATGACTCACTCCCGCAGGCCGCAATAATCACATGGACTGGTGGAGAGTAAAAGGCCACATTTGAAAAAATTGACGCCACGATTTTAATTTTCAAATTAGAAGGTTTAAAAAATAACAAATCGCTGCAAATTTAGGGAATTTTTATTTAAAATAAATAAAAGTTATTCGTGAAACAAAATGTCCGATAAATAGCGTCTGTGCTCCGAAATACATTCTTGGAAGCGATTGTCGAAATTTCTTTTCGCTTTTTCCGAGATTTCTAGTGGAATTTATGTAATTTCACTGTTTATTGAGTCCTTTAAATCGGAAAGGGTTCGTAGCTTGTTTAAATAAAAACCTATGACTTTAGATACCTCCATAGGAAGGTCACTTGGTTTGATCAGGCTAGTGGGATGGCCGTTGGGTACGGAATCCCGGACACGTGCCACATTTTCTAGTGTCACCACAGATGGAGAACGTTTAAGAAACACTGGGGACACATTACTGCGTTATCATCGTAAAATCGATAACCCACTTCAAAATCGATCGGTGGTTGGGACCATTGTATTCGGGAGACTAAACCGCGTGCAGAATGCACGTCGTGATGGTCACGATTAAATCATTGTAACGAAAAAACTTCTCCACCGTCGAACGTTCGAGGCATCTGACCCCCTGGACTTCAAAATTTCAAATATAAATTTAATAATTAATTAATATGATTTTATTTTAAGTACTTTTTGGTGTTTGATTTTATTATGTTATGATTTGTTTTTCTAATTACATATAATCGTTAATTTTTAGTCTCTGTATTGTATAGGTATTATACTAAAACTATAGCGACAACGTTCGATGATTTTTTTTATTTTTATGTCAACAGTTAAAATTGCATTGTTATACATTCTTATTATACATTCAATAGTTGCACTCCGATGACTGCAAAAACAAATAATACAATTTTATCTTCGTAGAAATAAGCTAATTTCACGGAAAAAAAACATGTGACTCCCCTACATTATAATATACTCCCCGGATATTGAACGGGCCGCGTGTAAAATAAAAATTTTAGCCGAGAGTACAAAGTACTCTATGCCATAAGTATGAAATGTAAGTCAAATACCCAGTGATTCACTCATAAAACTACTAACACGGATTTCTAAGATACTAATAAATTAATAATCTCGATACTCGATACTAAATAAGTACAATTATTTTCGGTATGCCTATTGATAAAAAAGTACTAGATACATAAGATACTAATGGAACAAGTATAGCAATGGAAGATATCGATACTTAAATTTTATGTTTTCTATGTTGCAAATACTCGATAGTCGATACATTAAAATTAAAATATTTTAATTTAATTTTTAACACATGTCGTAGTTTAAAAAATGCGGAAAATATTAATTTGAAACATTTTTCTAAATTACGATAAAATTCCTCCATTTTGGTAAAATATAACTCAATTTTTTCGAAAATCGATTTGAAATTACTCGGTTTGCCACTACTTCAGGCATCTGTGGGTATCATACATCAAAATGAGTATGTAGATCATTTAGAGGAGTGATGATTAGCTTATCTATTAAATATTACATATGTATATGGCACTTAAGAGGTTGTGGTTAATAGAAGTAATCGCTTATAACAGTATTTTTCTTATTTTTTTTTGGCGATGGTAGGAGTATTAATCACATAATATCATATTATACATATATACACTACTAAACACTAAAATGCCTGCCACTCAAAAAGATAATACTATTGATACTTTTATTTCATTACCTATCAGGATATAAGATCCTCGATACTTTCTAAAACTATATCGCGTACTGAGGTACGTATTTAAGATACATATATCAAAAATACACACAACTTTGCCAACTAATATACTTAATGCGAAGAGACAGTGGTGGCTCAACAAGTGATGAGTCGTTGCCTGATCTACAATTTTCTTATTACAATTAATATATTATTAAATAATTATAAAAGCCATCTTTCAAAATGTTTAAATTTTCAAAGTAATTACTGATAGGTAAGAGGTAACTTAAACTTAAAATCAACAAGTAGTAAATAAAATAATACAATTCATGATAAAAGTACTGCATTAACTGATTTTATGTATATTAACTCCAATTCCATTTTTTATTTTTTAAAATATTTTCCTTGGCACGTACAAGGCTCACGAACAACCACTGCGAAAAGGCCGTAATATTTTCAGTGTGGGTATCGAATCGTGAAAAACGCCGTCGTCCGGAAACATGACGATTTCGTTATTTTGTAAATCACAGCGAGAAAAAGGTTAAATATATTATATTATAATATATACAGGTATGAATATTGGATTTATGCATTATGATATGTAAATATAATGTTAATGAAAAAAAAAAAATTTTAAAAACCCATTGAATGCAATATCTATGAAATTTATATTTATTAGATAGTGAGCATAGCAAAGAATGTATTGATGGTTTTACTTTTATGGGTTTTTTTCTGTCAGTTATTAAATTTTCTACCATTTCTTGCTTAAACCGACAACAATGTCAGAGATAATTTCTGATAGCAAATTGTGAGTAGTTAGCGTATGGAGGAGATAATTTTCGATTCCGAGCGTAACGAGGGAGCTATTGGTTTTACTAAGATGTTTATTTTTTTTTTCTTTTTTGTTTCTTCTAGTTTGTGGACACGTTTTTTTCTAGTAAACATAATCTAATTTTTACGTGTAGCAATTTTTCTAAGAGCTCAAGTTGTCTAAATGGTATTTTGGAAATAAAAACACATAAGTGGGAAAAAGAACGTAGACAAACGTGCAATTTCACAATTTCACTATTTTGTAAAAACACGGACGACGTTTTCTTCCCGAAAAAATGATTAAATCGAAAACACCTTTTTTGTTGCCTTTTTGATTTACTTTCTTACGGTATCATTGCCAGAAATTTAAAGCCATTTTTGAACTTTTAAGGAATTTTAATTTTTGGTAGTTTTTTGCTGTATTCGGTTATAAATCTACGCAGAAACTTGAAACTTGGTAAAAATATTTATATTGGACTTACCTAAAAGTGATAAATTTCCAAAATCATCGGGTGACATTTTTTTATTTTTTTAATAAGCATTTTGAAATCAAATTTAAAAGAAAATCGCAAAAAATACTACGGCACTTCAAGTTATGTATTACCGAACGGCGCACAGAATAGACTTTCGCCAGCAATGGTTTATCGTTGCTTACAGATATAAATGAATGTTTTTGTATTACGGACGGAGCGAGGAATGTATTATATAATTAGTTTTATTGTGATTTGTGCTTAATTATCATAAACACCAGGTGATTCATTTAAGTGAGTACATTCATTATCTCGGAAAGTATTGACTTTTTTCGGAATTTGTTTTTTATAATATTTAACAAACGAGCTGCTCTACGGTTTTATATCTATGTTATTTATTGTTACCGTTATTTTTGGGGGAAAACCACTACCTACTTTTGATTTTCAAATGGCGACCTATATTAAAAATTCCATAAATAGATGGAGTATTTGTTAAAATAAATTTGAGTACTGAAATTTTTGATTTCTGTTATGACATTTACGAGGTATTACACTTTTAAGTTTAGGTTGGAGGAG